CGATTTAATTCCAATTCGTTTCCGTCCAAATTATGCTAATTAAGCATAAAGAGGATTGTACAACTTTAATGAACAGTACATAATAGTTTGCAGTGAATTTTGTTAAAGTAATGTTGAGAAATGCCAGAGTTAATTAAAGTTTTGAAATGGATTAGCAATCAGACCTCAAAAAACATGGCATATAAGATCAGTAAATTTAAATAGTCCAGTCCTACTAAAGGTTAGTTGGAGTTTAAACATCACAGTGGACTGTTGTGGTGGTGATGTTTGGTTCTGTGAGCTGGGAGCTTTCATTGTTCTTCTGAACCACATCATCAGCACAAACTTCAGATAGAAGTGAAGCATTCGAATTTATCCACATTTGACCTGTAGCTTGTTCTGCTAACCTCAATCTTGATTGGTTGCTGTTGACCTTAAACCTGTCGTTGTTTGCACATTTGTTTTGATTGTATCCCCCTTTTCATTTGTTTCTTGATCGTATTTCACCTATGATTTTTCGAAACATTCAGCTCAGAGAACCAAACACCACCACCACCACCACAATCATCCACCTGAGCTACAAATCTTCTCCACCATCTCACAATGGACCGTAGATATAGATTGAAATCAATCAAGTATTAGGAATTCTCTCAATATTATGTGTTCCAACTAGCGTGAGACTTACATCGAAGGTTTTATATCAACTGCCTTCAAATAATCCAACTCGATCATATTCTTCGAAACAGTGTAAAATAACTGAAACTCTAATCTTTATAAACGTAATTTTATTATTTCTGTAATACCGTTATTATGATGAACGTGTGAATATGGTCGTACATTGTATTTTTTATTTAAAAGGCTGAAGAAGATCTATGAAACTATGTTCTTCTGTCTGTTAAAGTAAATATATCCAAGCCTATCGGATTAATTCATACTGAACTCTTGTGATTTTATTTTTGTACATAGATGAAGTATAATTACGTAATTGATTTAATTTTCATTAACTCTTCAGTACTAATAAAAAAAGAGAGGAATTATAAAACTGCCGATCCAATCCAATAATTGTTCACACTTAGTTAACACATCAGTAACTTTTTAAGTAATCACATTTTACAATTCGATAAAAAGTGAAATAAAGTTTTGGTATAATGTTAAAAAGATATAACATAAATCGGGAAAAAAAGAATTTCGAATATATAAGAGAAACTATAGAAAGAAATTTAGTTACTTATTTACTCTGAAGATTTCTTGTTACTGAAATAACAAGTAAACTGATTCATGTTGGTAGATCTAGGCTATCTGGTCGGGGTCAGCGAGACGAAAGTAACTGATGGTTAGAGACCTTGAACGACAAGGCCCAAAATCGTCTGCAGTGGCGTAGGTGTATCCACACGTTGTGTTCTCTCAAGTCCTAATCTTCAGAATTCCTCATCATCTGTATCATTCTCTTCCTAAATTTATCTCACTGAATTATATTTCTCAAATCATATCTTCAAACCCTAATCTTCTCGATTACTGCTAATACCTCTACTATCGCTACCACTATGTGATTTGAACTGACAGTTGCGTCTCTATGCTGATGTGGTATGGCAACCTGAACTTATGTACTCATATATGAAGTTCTACGTTATAACTGACTGACTGTTATTGAAATCATATCGCAAATTAATTTGATCATAAAACTAACTTTAACTTTAAACAAAAAGTTAAGAAATGTATTCTTGTTTTTAAAAAGCTGTTGAATAATTCTTTAGTTTTGGCTGAAAAAGATCTAAACAATCTTTACCCGATTATTTACGAACAACACATTTCATTATGAGAATAGTACAATCAAATCAGTATGTGAAAATGTCAATGATCTCCATATTTTCAATTTTAGTCAAGATTTTTAGAACACATGTGATCTAGTTTTTTTGATAAGTTGATGTGTCACTTTCAAACTGATTAACATTATAAATGATGACTTTATAATACAGAATTTCTTTGTTTACTGAGGCATCGTAGAGTAGCAAAAAATGTTTGCTTTTTTCGAAATCATGAATCGATCAGTGCTAGACCACGGTAAGAAGCCTAAAATCACAGGATGCCCGTTTCGTCCTTGCAGCATGGGACTCATCGTCAGTGCATATGCAAGATGCCTGTACGCTGGAATGGAACACAGAACTTTCAGTCTCGCACTCAAGCGCTTGACCTCTAGACCACTCAACCAGCATATCTAACTTAACAAAATGACTACTCTAAAATTATTAAAAAACTGATAAAATGTTGAATATTTCACGAAATATAAACTGTTTATATTTATGAATAATTCGCATTAGTTTTATGGTTATTCTTTGTAATTTCATGACTTAACTGACAAAGGTTAACGTATCTTTCTAGGCATAGGTTGAAATCTAGGTAACGATCTAAACACAAAGTTGGAAATTGTTGGGTTTGATTTTTTTTTAAAAAAAAAAACTTGGAATAGTTTTATTCAGATACAAAAACTGCGATATAAGATATTTTTATTGCATTTTACCAATTATTGTTATTCAGTAAACAGTAGATTTACAAATACAGACATGCATACATACCAAAAGTTACATCATAATTTGTTCAGAGATAATATTATGTTCTTATAAGATGTCTTTGTAAATCATAGATAAATATTCAACGTTTCACCAATGAATACCAATAGAGTATGAAATAATTTAACAGTATCATATACTATGCAATTTTTTTATTAAGTTGAACAATATCTTAAAGTCAATGTTTAAAAGTCGGTAACAGTTTGAAATGAACTGAGGCACAATGGACCGAATCTATAATGTTTTATAGTTGCAGGAAATCAATAGGAATCTTACAAGGGATCGAGTTTTTTTGGGGGACGTTAGATCCCCAGAAATCACTTGGAAAGGTCGTAATTTTGTAATTTTATTATGGAAATTTGAATTTCATTGTTTTCAAGCCAGTTGACCGTCAGCTTACACTTCCCACTCGGAAAATCTTTGACTTTTAGCATGCTGTTTTGAGGCTCCCCAAAGGGTGTTTCTGTCGGGTATAAATAAGCTCGATTTGTGTGCTTGTCGACCTCGTGTTTTCTGGGTGCTTGAAGAATACATTCTCTACACCTTATTAAGAGTTCTTGATCTAGTTAACTGGGCCTGGGACAAACTGACTAGTATAGCCTATCGTGTCACTGCATCGTCGACTTACGTTCCGTTTACCGACTAAGATGAACTCGTAATAGTTTCAAGCATATCAAATGGCGAGTATATCATAATTTTATTGACGTCACTGTTTTATTGCAAGTTAAATAGTTAAATAGTCATTTTATTTATCAAATAAATGGTTGATTGTCGGTCATTTTAAGGTTATAACAATAAATATCTTCGAGATGGTGGAGAAAGCTTGTAGCTCAGGTAGATGATTGCTATGGTGTTTCGTTATCTGACCTGTTTATCTTTGCTAGCAGTACATATAGACACAGTTTGTCAAATTTGTTCAAGTGATAGTTCATTTTTATCAACCCCTGACATACATTAAAGAATTAACATTCTAGAAATGAGATTTTCAAGAGTATCAAACATTAACTCTAGGCTTTTAAATTGTTTTTCATCGAATACAAATCGATAATGTACATTCAATCGAAATGGTAGCTTTTATCATCAATGAACAGTCGAAAAAAGCAAGGAAAACAACATTTCCTCCATAAAAAGCATGTTATTAATGAGTAGTAGGCCATGATGACATGCCTCTTAGCATTATGTTATATTTTGATACAAGATATTTAGCCTCAGAGTTATTCATACTTACAATAAATATGATGACATCAATACACTTGAGGATATAAAATAATTTCCTTATTCCACTATCTCAAATCTCTCTGCTCTCAAAACTTTTTTTTCCCTGATACATAAATAGACTGTTTTGAACATGTGATTAAATTGAATATTATTGATATTTTCATGTTTATACTTTACTCACTTTTATATACAAGACAGAATTTTGATGTTAAAAAAATTTTCTTTATTCATTTTTAAGTAATATTTTTTGGAGCATGAAAAATTTATTGTTCATGGTTGTTTATATAAACAGACATGATCTTAATCAATTCTATTTTATATCTTAATTATGTTGATAACATGATTTTACATACCAGAAAAACAAAAACAATCACACTAATTCATACTACAGAATGAACGTTCGAGGAAACTACTACTACTAACTGCTTCCTTACTTACTTAAGCCTATTACCCATAATGGAGCATTGGCGGCTGAACACCATTCTTCAACCTGCTCTGTTCTGAACCTTCCTCTTCAGTTCATTATTCTCGTGTTTGTCTTCAATTCTCAGTGAAATCTGTTCTTTAGTCTTCCTCATTTCCTTAGACTTTAAGGATCCCAAGTGAGAGCATGTCTTGTGATACAATTAGATGCTTTCCTGAATGTGTGTCCTGTTCACTTTCAGAGCATTTTCCTAATTTTCTCCTCTGCTAGGAATTTCGTGTGGTCTCTCTCACAATAGGTTGTCACTAACTTATATTTACTCATCTGATATTTACTAATTAACATTTTGTTGGGGATGTTAGATCCCCAAAACTCGCTTGTTAAATGCCTTATTTTGGATTTCACGTTTGTGAGCATGGGTTGATCAGTTCATCTTGAGATTTCATTTCCCACTAGGAAAATCCTTGGCTGTGTTTGGCTGCTGTGTATTTTAGTGTGTTATTTTTGTAACTGACACAAGGACGTTTCTATGATGTATAAATAAAATAGAGTTGTGTGCTTGAATGTGATGTGTTTGCTGGGTGTTTGTAGAATATACTTTCTACGCTATATCAAGACTTTTGGTTAGCCATTGGATCAGGGTATCCTAACTCAACGCTGGTTCATTGTCTCGTTCTCGTTTATCGACTAAGGCGAACTCGTAATAGTTTCAAGCGTACATAGTGACGAACACTACACATTTATAAGAATTTGTGGATTGTATTAAAAATATATATACATGTAAATATATCAATTCACTGATTATTACTTACTTTATCTCGAAGTGATTCAGTAAATGTAGCCGGTGTTCCAGTACAATTGATTAATATTGCTCCAAGTACTAAATTATCATAAGCGATCTGATAATTAAAAGAAAAACAATAGGGTCAATAAAAAAACAAACAGAAATTAGATTAAATCAAAAAAGATAAGTAATATATTCGACTAGTTATTCTTTGAAGATGTAACTTATACGAACCTGTGAAATATTGAACATTGAATTGGTTTCATTCGTTGAAATATTACACATGTATATGATATATATCACTGTTATTTGGTTCTGATAAAGAATTTCTCTATAGTTTGGTATTAATATTTCCAGAAAAAATATTCCAATCAAATATAATTTATGCATTTAATGAAAATATGAATGAATATTTGGTTTTAATTTATAGTACATATATATAATTATATATTTGTATCGGTATTTCTCAGTAATATTTATCATCAACTCCACATCACAGATAATCAAACCTAGTATCTGAAGTCTTGCAGTGAGTTACTAACTTTTAAGCTATCAAGCTGAGATCTAGCAATGTATATATCTAACTTCAGTCAGCTCAAGGTGTTATCAGTCGGAAGTGGATAGCTATTTCGCACCCAATAAATTTAAATTCTACGAGTTACAGCTTCCTACCAAACTTTCTGGAATTACAATACAAAGTTAGTCAGCAGTAAGGACTTAGTTAATATTAGTACTAAAGCTTTGTGCTTATATCACTGACAAATCAGAGCTTTACATATAAAAGAAATCTATTTCGTTTCTCGTTTTATCATGACCAACGTTATATACCTGTTAGGTCATTAGTGAACAATCATCTGAGCCAAAATCCTAGTCGGATTAGTTAAAATGACTTAGTTTTATGCGTATATAATTTATGATTTGGCAGTGATGTTAGAACTTAAAAATTAATTGTTTTTAGTCTACAGTGTATATATCATTGAATGAAGTTTTTTTATTAAAATCATTGTAAGCAAAACTTTTAAGTACGCAAATTATTTTTGAAATTATTTATAATTGAATCAGGAAAAATGATATAACCGAGTGAATTTTATATGACGATCGAAAGTGGATATGAACTGATCTTGTACAAGTCGATAATCAATATGATTGATATACACTTCTAAGGATTTTATGCCTCACTGAGTTGTAGAATATTACGAAACAAACATTGGTCGATGACTTTACAAAGAATTCGCTTCATGGAAATAAAAATACTACTTTTGTAATTGTAGATATTATTTGGAATGATTATTGGTTAATTTTTGAATTATTCAAATTTAAACAAATGTCATACTAAATGAATATATAACAGATTTTATAGAATACTAATGGAGTTATTATAATCGTGAATATAATCCATAATCTCCATTCTTAATCCCTTTCTATCAATACAATTATGAAGGATTACTGACAAAATAAAATGGTATACAGAGATTTTTTTATTTTACGTAATTAGTCAACAATACATATGGGATTTTAGTGGAATAAAGTATGGATTAAAAGATTTTAATATTTTTTTTTGTTCTACAGTTATTCCATTTAATTAAGAGATTATTTTATAGAATATATAAATATATATATGTATTTTTTCCGGAATAGAATAAATTGACTGAAAAAGGAAATGGTGAATGAACTCTAAAATCATACTTCTTTCAGCAGTTAAATATTGACACGAAAAGAAAATTAGAATATTAAGGTAAAAAATATTTATTTAAACGAGGAAGGCAAATCAGTCACTAAGATTTAAAAACAGGAGGACTAGGAAGTAGAGTTATTTCAAGAACTGTTGAATGGACTAGTCCGATCACAGTAGCACTTACAAACTTTTCAACTAATGTTGCTTTCACATTTTCGAAACCATGAATCAATCAGTGACTGTTAGACCACCATTAGAAACCTGGAAGCACTGGACAGCCATTTCGTCCTGGTATGGGACTCCTCAGCGGTGCGCATCCACGACTCCTGCACCTCACTGAGGAGTCCCATACCAGCACGAAACGGCCGTCCAGTGCTTCCAGGTTTCTAATGGTGGTTTAACAGTCACTGATTGATAACCAGTAGTTTGTTTCAACATACATAAGGGAAAAAGCAATATCCAACCAAATTATATTTGACTGAGAAGCTGTGGAAGCATTTACATAGCTAGGCAGCATTATTGATAAACAAGGTATTTCTACAACTGAACAACATCTGGAAATCATAACAACTATCAACCAATACCAAAGTTAGAATTTTCAACACAAATATCAAGATAGTTCTATTGTGTGTTGCCGAACCTATCAAAACGATCATTCAAAAGATATACATTTACAAACGTTTGTCTACGCCAGATCCTAGGGATCGTTCGAGCAGATACTATTAGTAACAACATACTGTAGGAGAGGATAAACCACATTCTAGCGGAGGAAGAAGTCCTGGAGATGGATAGAATAAATATTGAGTAAAGCACCTAACTCCATCACAAGACAGCCCCTCAGTTGGTATCCTTAAGGCTAAAGGAAAAGAGGTAGACCTAAGAACACATTAAGCCGACGATCGGGGCCAAAAATATATAGGGAATTAATAGTACTTGGAAACTACTAGAAAGGAGAGCTCAGGACTGAGTAGGTTGGATAATCCTAGTCAGTGACCCATGCCCAACTGGCAGGAAGAGACGTGATCAAGCAATTTTCATTCATAAAATAGTTTTATTAAAGAGTAGACAGATGTTTTCCTCTAAAACTGGAAACTCTTCAGCTGAATGTACTTACATTTCAATACTGATTTTCTCATTACAGTAAGAAAGCTGTGTTGATTGTATAATGTTCATTAATGATCAAATTATTGATTTTACCAAATAGTAAGCGTTACTGAATAAGATTTTATGTGATAATAAGCATAAATGAATATAGTCTTGTTGAATTTACATAGAATTTGAAACAGAACAACAGATATCAATATATAATCGAAAAATGTATAAAAGAGATCGAAAAAAAGTTTATTATTTTGGTTTTATTTAAACTTGTTGTCGCTATGATTATCATTATTATTCTAATTATACATTTGAATTCATCAATCAATCATTGTTAGACCACCATTAGAAACCTGGAAGCACTGTAAGACGGCCGTTTCGTCCTGGTATGGGACTCATCAATGGCAGTGCACATCCACGACTCCTGCACATCGCAGGATTCGAACCTGGGACCTTCGGCATTGTATGCGAACACCTTACCATTGGACCACTGGGCCAGCATCCGACGGTGTTCATTTCTAACTCTGATTGATCTAACTATCGTTTAATCAATAGTATTGTTTGTTATCTGATTATCTCCTATGAGAAAATTAAAAAATTCAATTTGTTGAGTCACATCCGTTTAATTCACATTTCAGTGTGATATATATAGAGAGAGTTAAGTTCTGTTAAGCTATCTGAAGATAAACATTAAATCCTGTAAACATTTAATCCTTTTTTCCGTTTAATGTGTAATACTGAGTTGCATTAAGATAGCCAAGATGAAAGAAGGAAAGATCAATAATAATAATATTAATAATAATAACAATAGTAATAACGGAAATAAAATGCAATTAAAAACATTTTGGGAATTTGTTTACTGAAGTCAAATTTTTTCATGTTAGATAATTATAAACCAGAATGTTATGTGAAGAATTGATTTAATGAGCTAATCAGTAGTTTGAAGTGTAAAGAAAACTATGTTAGATGAATGAATATAAATGTAAAGTAAACAATGTAAGTGTAAAGTACACTAGAATGCAAGAAATAATCATGGAATTCTTGACAAGTGACAAATTGTTTGTACTTAGTAACTATAGTACTAGATGGAATCCTGGAGTAAATATCAACTGATGAATCCAAAATGGGACGAAATGTGAATTATAGATTTCGATGTTGACCACACTCCATCCACTGCTTAGTAACTTTTGTCACAATGGTTATAAGCACAGGATGAGCATAAGTTAACCAAGACTGATCTGATTTATGTTGCAAAAACATCAACCGATTTATCGATGCATTTCAAATTGAGTTTTATTTTGAATAGTTTTTGCATGAGACGAAGAGTACGAATCTGAATTATTCTCGACATAAAACACTCAAGAAAACAGCATCTTCTATTCCTGTCATACACATTCTCACTGCTTAACAATATGTAAATACAATCTTCCGTAAACTTACACTATTCCCAAGCTATAGATCTTAATAATGTTGGTGATATTAGATTCCAAGAACTCACTTGGAAAGGTCCTAATTTTGTAATTATAATCTGAAATTTTGAAGTTCATTGGTTTCGCGCCGATGGACGCCCAGTTGGCCTATAGCTTACATTTCTCATTAGGAAAATCCTTGACTGTCATCGGTTGATGGATTATTTAAAAACGCCATTTTATGGGTCTCCCAACGGCGTTTCTATCATTGTATAAATAAGCTTGATTTTGTGTGCTTAGGGACCTCGCATTTTCTGGGTGCTTGTTGAATACATTGCCTACGCCTTATCAAGACTTCCTGATCTAGTTAACCGGGGCTAGGACAAACGGATTAGAATAGCCTATCGTGTCACTGAGTCGTTGTTCTCCGTTCCGTTTACCGAGCAAGGTGAACTCGTAATAGTTTCAAGCATATCACATAATTAAATGAATAAGGTTTCTACTCTATTCGATAGAAACAAGTCAATCAATCTCGACCAATGGGTGTAATCTGGATTATTTTTACAGTCAAACAAATTAAAATCTCTTAGCAATGAATAGTGAGAGAGAGAGAGAGAGAGAGAGCAGTAAACACATACAACTCCAAAGTTTGAAGTCAAAATGCATTAGTCACTCATGTACAACTCCAAAATCATGAATTTTACTATTGAAAATTTAAGTCAACCTAATGACATTCAACTTATAGGATTATGATATTTTAAAATAGTTACAAAATAATGTATAAACTTGAAATGAACTAATGAATATAATAACTCCATTGTGTTAATTACCAATTATGTAATCAGAAGAATATATTTATCTTTTCTAATCATATTATTCAACCATCATCCTAGATAATTTTAGAAATAATAATAGATACATTGAAAATTAGTGAAC